CTCACCCTCATGTCGTTCCAAACCCATAAGACCTTTGTTATTTTTTTACAAAGATATTTTTTTATGAAATCCGAGAGCTCTCTGACTGTCCATACAGAGCAATGTAACTGAAATGTAGTAAGGACTTTAACGTTAAAATAGTCCATGTGACATCAGTGATTCAACCGAAGCTATGAGAATATTTTTTTGTGTGCAAAAGAAAACAAAAATAATGACTTTATTCAACAATTCTATTTAGCGTCACCATCCTCCGGCATTAATCGAGAGTACCATGATGCATGCGTGTAAAATTAATTAATAAAATGTAAAAAAAAAAAAAAATGGTTGATTTAAAAATAAATTAATTTGTGTTCCGAAGATCTTACAGGGGTGAGTAATTAATGACAGAATTTTTATTTTTGGATGAACTATCCCTTTAAGGGCCTTATATTCAGTGTCACTGATTCAGATTTATCTATAACATGTTTTATAGATGTATTGTCTAGATTAAATAATTTTACCATAATTATAAGTAGTTAAGAAATAAATATATGCATGATAGTCAAACAGATTTTAGTTTTATTAAAAATAACATTTTAATAATAAATACATTAGGCCTACTGTTCAAAGGTTTGGGGTTGGAATAATTTTTGAACGTTTTTAAAAGTCTATTTTAAAAAATATTGCAATTTAAAACAACTTTTCTATTTTAAAAGTATTAATTAAAAACAGAAATAAAAAAATCTTGTTGACCCAAACTTTTAAGCAATAGTGTACATTTCAAAATAAAATTAGTCTCAACTTTTAGTTTTTGATTTAAAGGGATAGTTCACCCAAAAACCAGTTCACCTCAAAACCAAAAATTCTGTCATTAATTACTCACCCTCATGTAGTTCCAAACCCGTAAGACCTTTGTTCATCTTCAGAACCAAAATTAAGATATTTTTTAAGAAATCTGAGAGCTCTCTGACCCTTCATAGACAGCAACACAACTGTAATGTTCCCAGGTCCAAAAAGGTAGTAAGGACATTGGTAAAATAATCCATGTGACATCAGGGATTCAATTGTAATTTTATGAAGCTACGAGAAAACTTTTTAAGTGCAAAGAAAACTAAAATAGCAACTTTATTCAACAACTCTTCTCCTCATCCTGTCTGCAGCGCATGGCACATTGCAGGAAGACTGGATGAGGAGAAGAGTTGTTGAATAAAGTGGGGTTTTTTTTCTTTGCGCACAAAAAGTATTCTCGTATCTTCGTAAAATTATGGTTGAACCCTGATGTCACATGGACTATTTTACCAATGTCCTTATACAGTACTTTTCTGAACCTGGGAACATTACAGTTTAGTTGCTGTCTATGGAGGATCAGAGAGCTCTCGGATTGCATCAAAAATATCTTATTTTGTGTTCTGAAGATGAGCGAAGGTCTTATGGGTTTGGAACGACATGAGGGTGAGGAGAGTTTTCATTTTTGGGTGAACTAACCCTTTAACATTGATGTAGTTGAACTTCCTGTTTGGGGTTTATTTTGATGTGTTTTTGAATATAAAGATCTAATCCTAAAGCATCTTGTCTGACCTGTCCACTGCTCCTCGATGGCAGCCACCTGATCATCTGTGAACTCCCAGAACTCCGCCAACTTCTTCCAGTCATTGCGCTTGAGGTGTTTGTATGCGAGGTCCCATATTATATCGCGCACCGGCTTCATGTCAGGAGAGTGATCTAATTTAAACGTCAGCGGTGATTCGCTGTGCAGGCTCTCAATAGCATCTGTATTAGTCTGAAAGGGTAATCAAATAACATCCAGCTCTGAGAAAGGCCAGATTCGCCAGAGGCCAGGTGCTGAAATTAGCACAGGTATATTTACAGCACAATGAATATGTTTGCTGTTATTCAGAATGATCAGTTTTGACATATGCAACCCTCGTGCAAATAAATGTGCTGTGGTGACCTTTCTGAATTGAATTATACATGTTTTAATACTGCATTACACCTCCTGCACTGGGTTTAATAGAAAATGACAGAGGTTATAGCAGGCCGTGACGTTTGGTGGGAGGAAAATGTGCTTCCCACTCCTTTACAAAACACAATACCTTTTATTCCACGGTCTGCTTTGACCCACATTGGAAATCTGGATGCCTACCATTTGAAAATCGTGCTTCCATCTGAAATATCTCTCAGCTTTGATGATCATGTCCACAATAATCACCATATTTCCCCTCGCTGCCACTCCAAGAGCGGTTTTATTTTGCTGTGAAAGAAAAAAAGTACAAAAATAACTTCTCACAAATTGCCTTTTTCTCTACGGTCTTTTAAAAGCGTTATCAGGCAGTGTAAAATGTCAGACACGGTCTGTCACCCTGTCCTGAATCTCCAGATCCACCCCAGCTTTCAGAATCATCTCCACCACATCCACCTTTCCCATCTCAGCGGCGATTTGGAGTGCAGTCTGCCCCATCTGAGTGTGGTGAATGAATAATAAACTACTGAAACACGTGCATGCAGTGATAAATATCATTTCACAAATGACGTATGAAAAAAAGAGATAACGCACATGATCCTTTACGTTTGGATCACAGCCAGCCTCAAGTAAGGTGTGGATTACTGGAATATGACAGTTCTTCACTGCCAGATGAAATGAAGTGTGCAATTGCTGAAATGAAACAGTCAATCAATCAGTCAATCAATCTTGAAGGTTTAATCTAGCATTAGGGTATTTATGCTTAATATGGATTATACTCATGTTGTCATGAAGGAAAAAGATGTGTGTTAAAATGCTCAGTACTGGATCTTTTTTTTACTGGATCATCATATTGAATTCAATAAGAAGCCAAAGGGGGGAAATTGCAATGTTTGAAAATGTCAGTCAAGTATTTTATACATTGTCAGTTTTCACTTTTGGTACTAATTAATTATGAATTATTTTAGCTTTGAGGAATAATGTATCTGTGTTTAAAGCAAAAGCTTGAATTGGACATATAACTGTTCAAAAGTTCAGAGAAGGTAAGATTTTAATTTTAATTTGATTTATTTTTTAAATGCCTCTTATACTCACCATTGTTGCATTATTTGATCAGTAAAGTGCAGTAAAAACAGCAATATTCTGAAATATTAGCACCATTTAAAATAACTGTTTTCTATTTTAATATATCGTAATTTTTCCCAGTGATGGCAAAGCTGAATTTTCAGCTTCATTATTCCAGTCTTCAGTGTCACATGATCCTTCAGAAATCATTCTGTTATTTGCTGCTCAAGAAACATTTCGTGTTATCATCAATGATGAAAACATTTTGTGCTGCTTAATAGTTTTGCGGAAACCATGATACATTTTTTTCCACGATTCTTTGATAAAAAAAAGTGAATAAGAAC